TTTTTTTTCTTTTCTGTGTTTTTTTTCTTTTCTTTTTTTGTTTTTGTTTCTTCATTATTGTGTGTATGTGTTGTCTATGTAACAAAAATAAAAAAAAAGTTTATATATAAAAAACAACAACACAAGAGGAACGCCACTCTCTGACACAGAACCAGGGTAGGGCAAGAGACTCAGAAGGGCCCCTGGCGCTCTCTGAGCTTGCTTGTTTTCTTGCAGACATTTCATTACCTAACTAGGTAACATCACCAGTGCTATTAAGGAATGCTGTTTGCTGTCAGTTTATACTCTGGTGCCTTGCCTGTCTGCAGGGGCGGGGGTGGTCTTAGAGATTCCTTGGTTGGGCTGTTTTCAAGAGGGTCAGAGGAGGCAAATGCTCTTCCCTTGCATCGTCTCCACCTTGCCAGCTCATTAGACTGGCAGACCCGCCCCTCCCACCCCTGCCTACCTGCTGAAGGGTTGCCTGCAGCTGCTGCTCCCGCACTTCCGTCTTCTGCAGGACTGACTCCCAGCAGGAGTTCATGGTCTCCAGCCGGTTCCGGAGACTGCTGGCATCATCCGTTGCACTGGATTCCAGGAGTTCATTGCCAGCCTTGTTCACGGTCTCCACTGTGGCTTGGTGGGCCAACACATCATTTTTCAGTACCTAGGATGGGATTGGGAAAATATGGGTCCTTATTAAAAAGAGCTCAGCTTAAAGCTTTGCCTTAGCAGAAGGTAACTCAAACTGAAAACATCAAGGAGCACTTTCGAGGCGGCCCCTTCTTGCCCCTTAATTTGCCTTCAGAAGCAGAGGAGAAGATGCTACCTGGAGGGGAGCGATTAGTTCTCCTAGGCCCAATGTGGCCCTTTTGTGCTCTGATCTGACCCCTGTGGACTACCAGCCCCCGTCCCCCGTCTCAAAAGGCAGCTTCACTGATCTGCAATGGCCTCAGAAGGGGGGTTTCCTGTGGAGAGAGTGCAGTTTGAGGGTTGCAGGCTATTTAATCACCCATGGCTAAAGGATCCTGACCACTAAATCTGTAGTTTCACTACTTTCCTGACTACTTTACAGCAGCAGGTTGATAAGATGTTAAAATAAAGACCACAGAGACTCTAGGGGGAAAAGCCCTGGGAACCAAAAGGAGCTGAATGGCTTCTGTCATCAAGCTAGTGCAGGTGTCTGGCCCTCAAGACCCTGAAAAATAATGTAAATCAAAGCAGGATTCTTTTCTGGGACAGCATCCCTGCCAGAGGACTCCATGCACACACATCCCTTGCACTCACATGGTGCTTGGCCAACTCCACTTCAATGACTTTGGGGTCCCCGTTGATGGGCCTCTGGGAATCCAGCAGCTCTTCGGTGTGGGTCAGCCATGCCATAAGCTCAGCCAGGGCATGCTGGAACTGGCCAAGGGCCAAGAGAGACCCTTCCAGCTTGTGCTGTTTAAGGAAAAGAAAAAGGGGGTTTTAAGGGCATTTTATCACACCTTTCCACTCCAACCAGTGGTGCTCAAGAAGATTCACTATGATTTTTTAACAATACAACTACAATAAAACAATACAATAAAACTAACAAACTTGTAAAGTTAAGAGTATCAAATACAAAAATGCAAAAGTCAGGCTGAAAAATCAAATAGAAGAAAAGCCAAAGACTGGCTAATTGACAATAAAAAACAATGTTACTGCTCAGAAAAAGAAAACTATAAATATTTTAAAATATTTTAAAAATATTTCATGCAGTCTCCAGACCAGTGCCTCTCAATTTTAGTATCATTAAGATGTGTGGATTTCAGCTCTCAGAATTCTGCTGGCTGGGGTATTCTGGGAATTGAGGTCCACATATCTAAAAGTGGCCAAGGTTGAAAAAGTTTGCTCCAGACAGAAAGTCTTCCAGGTAATTTCCAGCAGGTGCAAACCAGCCAAAGCCTCTTCAGATGCAGTCAGGTGAGGATTAGGATCCACCTGGGAGGAGCTCTTTCTTAAGGAAAAGGTGGGAGCTATTACCTAGCTATTACCTTTTCTTAAGGAAAAGGTGGGAGCTATCTCCATGGTAGTGGATCTGGCTATTTGAGAGACCGCCTTCTGCCAATTACCTCCCTGCGTCCCATCAGATCGCATAGA